GGGGCGGGAGGTTGAAGGGAGAGCCTGGCTTCCTTGCAGCTCCATCCTGATGGTGTTCTTCTCCAGGCGCTGCATTGACGTCACGATGACACGGTGAAGTCAAAGACAGGAGCTGGGAACGGTTCTTCTGCTTCGCTTTTGACAATCGAGTGAATTTGTCGCTGCTCCGTTCCTTCCAGCATGGCAAAGAGTGCAGAAGTGAAGCTGGCGATCTTTGGTCGAGCTGGCGTGGGCAAGTCAGGTATGTCTGCTGTCAGATTTTTTTCTGCTGCTTGTCATCAGGTAACTTTTTGCTCGCTCTGTGCAGATGAACTCTTTGTACAGAAAGACAGCTGTGACCTTATTCTTGTCAGGAAGGTCAGGATCAGGCCAGGAGTTCTCTCTTTCCTGCTTTCCATGTTATTTTCTCCAGGTCCTCCACAATAAAAATATTTTTATTGCTTTAAAAAACAATAACAAAAAACCTCAAACTTCCCACCTCAACTCAGTCTGACTTCTCATGAAGTAGTGGCAAGATTGCTTTTTTCCACTGGAACAGAATTAGTATTTAATTTGTCTCTTCATAGCTTGTGCTAGATGAAGCTATTTATATTATTCTCCCTATCCTCTAAGATCAGATCCTCTGTTAAATATTGGATGGCTTCTGTAATAGCTGTCATTCTGATTGATTTCAGTGGGAATTTTTGGACTCAGCAACTCAAAGAATTTTTATGCTCAGTGCTGTCTTGGATTTATATATTTACCAGGAAACCAAGAAAATACGATTTGTAAAGTTTGCATGTGGAGAGATCTTCTGAGAAATAAACATAGTCTGGTGAGTTCATACGGTAGAAACACAAGGGGGAGGCATAAATGTTAAAAATCCATTTCTACAGATGGCCTTTGGTGAGACAAGAAGCGTAATGAGAGGGTTGCGAGCTCTCTCGGACAGTTCGGTGGTGTTGCATTAACTTGACAGCTCCAGGACCACTCTAACATGTCCTTGCACCACGTGAATGAGGAAATGAGGAGACTGAGTCTAATCCTGCTCCCGTGCCAGTTTGGGAATTGCGAGATACTGTTTATTTTAGAGAAATCTGTGCGAGAGAAGCCAGGAGGTAGGATGTACCTGTAAGAGCATTAGGCGAGACTCTTTGCTGCCATCAGCCAGCTCCGGTTCCCTGAAGTAACTTTTATATTAGAAGTGCCAAGGTTCTGGCTCATAAACTGCTATTTTAGTTTCGTTAACTATGGAACGGGTTGTGCATAAAAGCGTGTTTACCCAGAAGGTATTTCACCAGAACGCTATCAGTGAAATACCTCTGTCAGCCTGCAGGAAAAAAGGCGTGTGTGAGGCAGAGGTTGTTAGAGATCAGACCGCTTACACAAAGACAATGCAGATTAAATTCTACCGTTTTGAATAAAAGACCTGAGGGAATGCTGATAATATGCTGTGGTAAGTTTAAACTGTTCCTCCTCTCCTGCTGCACTCACCCCCACCTCTCTGTTGTGTTTGTATTTCACTGTTGCCTCCAAGTTCTGCGAGTAACTTCAGAGGTTCTGCTTTTGATTTGTCTTACGGTCGGTCGAGGGTTTCTGTGGTTGTCCAGTCTTCTCTTCTGGCTGGATTGAAATAACGCAAGAGGATGTTCAGGTATTTGCAAGAGAACTGTAACACTAAAAGACTCCCCTCGCCCTGACGTTCTGAGCCATTTGAGAGCTTCTATTTAAAAACCAGAAAAACTGCCAGTTGAGTGCTCAGTTAAAATGCCTCACCAGTATAGGATTGACACCAATATAGGATCAACAAGAGCCTGTTTAACCTGTTATATCCTTTTTGTAGACTTCATTATATTAGGATTTCATGCTAATTGTGTTTTCCTGTAGTCCTGGAACTGGGCGGGCGATCGTTTTTAATGAAAAGCCAATAAAAACATCCCAGTCTTTCAGAGTCCTCCTCATCTCCTTCTTTTCTTTTTTTTTTTTTTCCTTTGCGATGCAAGGAAATATTACATAAGCTATGACTAAGGTCCCCTCTTTTTGCTTGTGACCACGCATGTGAATCTGTGTGGAAATGAAGGTGCAAAGAAGTGGGCAGCACAACAGGGTGAGTTTAAGCGGGTGGAGAGACTACGGGGAGCGATCAGCCACCTTGGCGGAGCAGCAGCTGTGCCTCCAGGACTCTCCAGCTTGCTTATGAAAACCCCTCTTGTACGTTCCCATAAAAGGATCCCGTTTCAACAGCTCAGCCAGCTCCAGCGAAAGAAGTGTGTGCATGTGGGAGCAGTGTCTGAAGATACCTGTTTGCCTGTAGTCGACAGCAGGAGCAGTGGAAGTGTGGTCAGTTGAACTCAGCATTATACGAGTACGCGTAGTAGGTCAGTCTGACTGAATTATTTAGCTAGAATATGTAGTCTAGGGTTAACAGAAGGCCACGATGCTGACAAGAGTGGCTGACACAGAAAAGTCTAATCAGGAACTACTGTCCTTGGGAACGAAGTATATCTTGGACAAATATGTAAGCTAATTAAGATTTTTTGATCAGTTTGGAACTAACAGCAGAAGAACGATAAAGAGTGCCCTTAGACAAACTATCCTCATTGTAATACTAAAAATCACACCCCTTGAGCTGGAGATCCCGGCCCGAGCAGAGACCTTAACTTACTGAGCTTGTGCAGTAAACGTGAGGAGTACTGCATCTTTAAACCAAAGTAAGAAGAGAACTAAGCACTCGTAGGTAGGAGGGCATGGCCGACAGGCAGAACTGGCATTTTTAGCTGTATGAATATGCGATGCGATTGTAATCAGGTGTGCTAGCTTTGTGGAGTTACCACCTAGCACCCATCTCTGCGCAGACATGAAATAAGCTGGTATCTCTGCTCTGTGTGCGTATTGGATGTTGCACGCCAGGCCGCAAGCTCTTTGTGAGACAACAATAGCTGTTACACCTTTGCTAAGAGCAGAGCTGCGCACAAAGTAGTCTTCAGAGAGCTGGGTTTGATGGATAAGTACCCTGCCAAATTAGCGTTGATAGTGTCTTCTTTTAGTCAAGTAATTCCCTATCCCTGAGACCAGCTGGTAAGACAGGATCCCGTGGCCATAGGTTACTGGAGTAGGCTTGGCCAGACAGCTGAAAGATAAGCCAGACTCTAGAAGCAAGAATGCAAGGTAGAACGCTGGAGCATGCTGGATATGAGTGGTGAGAAGGAGACACCGGGTGATAAATAAGGCCACTGTAATTGCCAGGAAGTCCTGCCAAAATATGGTCACTGGCTTGCTTTCTTGGCTCATCTTCATTTGCTGAGGAAGAGCCAGGTGTTAAGTTCTTAGTCTGTAGTAGCTTCACCACCTGACAGCATCTGTGAAGTTACAGACCCATACAGCAATATCCTGGAGAGGCTCTTCTTCCAGTTCCTGGCTGGGGCTTTGGATCAAGTGAGTCAAAGCAGCTATGAAGAAAGAAGTGCGGAGAATTAAAGCTGTGTCTCATGCACCATGAAAGTCAATAGAATTGTTACCATTGCTGAGAGCTGAGGAACATCCTAATCTTGTCTTAATGCTAGACATCTGTTTAATGGGGTGCAAGATTCCTTGTACTTCTACTGAGTAGTCCTTTCCAATTAATCCAAGACCTTCCCAGACATGCGGTGGGAAACCAGAACACTGTTCACAAGTCAGAATAGTGACAGCATCTCAAAAGAGAGGTAAAGCCAGGGGCAACAAATTTTTTGTTCACTTTCTTGCTGCTTATTAATTTTCCGTGATTTAAAGGTTTAAAAAACAAACAAGGTGGAATAGCAAGTCTGAGTGTCAGCTTTTTACTGTGCTCCTTCCTTGTCTCATCCCACCTGCTGGAGAAGGCCAGCAGAATTGCTAATCAACTCACCTGTCCTGTTTTGTGTTTTTTAACTAATGTAGACCTAAAGCTTTCAAACAGAAAAGGAGGAGCAGACCAACTCAGAAGGGGGCACGTAAGATTGCTCCAAGTAAGGCACTCGGTTCAGAATTACACTGGGTAGTAAATCACTGGTCAGCTCATCTGGGCAAGCTCATCAGGCACAAGCATCCCCACCTGCTCTTGTACAGAGGACTGGATGCTCCTCCATTCACACAGTTCTTGTTTTATAAAAGTTGGATAAACATTGCTTTAAACAAGCTGAAAAAATCCAGATGAGGAGCTCTGCCTGAGCCAAGGAGCACTTTGCTGCTGCTTCGCTCGGGAAGAAGAGGAGATGCTCTGTGGGTGGGAAGGGACGTTGCTAAGCCCTGCTACAGGTAACGGGGCTGCACCTCCTACTTTGGGCTAGAGTCAGGCGGCACTGAGGGGGAGAGGGAGCTTTGAAAGTCTTTCTCTTTATATCCAGGAGGAGCTTGGAGGTAGCGGAGAATTAAAGTTGAAGTGAATTACTTAAACATTGCTGTTTGAATTGTTCTGCTGCTGGATCCTACAGCTTCATTCCTATGGTAACAGAAGTTAGAATTTCCTAAATAGCTCCTTTTGAAAATACAGTAGTAACAATTAATAAGGACTTAAAGGCCTTGCTCTTCATGTCATCACAAGGTACAGTACGTGCCCAGAAAGCTAAAGAAACGAAAATGTATGAACCAGGAGGAGAAAAGAAGGGCATGTACTGGATAGCACTGCAGGGCTGATGCTTTTCCAACTCATAATTCAGTTGACTATGAACGCTCAAAATACCTCTGCTTAGGAGCCTTTATATTTTGGCCAAAAAAGAGAGAATGTCCAGCTGCGGCGTGTGCTGTCCAACTTGCCTTTTTGCTGTGTGTGTGTGCTAGGCTGAATACTCCAGGTTTCTGCGTTAGCGTGTATGGTGCGCCCGGTCACGGGCAGATGCGGTTCTTGTCTGTCTGGACAGGCTGCGCAGCTGCAGCCGTGGTACGTGACACGGAGGTGTCTGTGGTTTCTACTGGTGCTGGAGTGACAGGGAAGATACGAAAGTTCCCACAGGCTCCCCCCCAGTAAGTATGTGTCTGCTTCTAGGCAGCTGTGCAAATCATTCTCCTTGTGCAAACAGTTACGTGAGGCTGCTGTCACCTTTTCATCCAGCAATAGCTCAGATGCTTGCGTTTGGGCAAGAGGGGGATCGATAAAGTGGCGTCAGTGAATACCGTCCTGCAAAGAACCTGTCACATCTCAGAAATGAAGATCTCACCAACTTCAGTCATTTTAGTGTCGCAGTTGGGAAAGTCCTGACTCGCTGTAGATTTATATCTGTTGGCTTACACTGTTTTCCCTGTCTA